TGATTTTGATTAAGTTAATATATTATTATTTAATATTTAGTTATGATAACCTATTATATAAGCAAATATATGACAATACTATGTCACATTATATCGCTTAATATGGAATATATTAGAGATGTATCGTATCGAATTTGAATAATCATATATAGAAGAAAAGTATGTGTAACATAATTATATTATCATCTTATTATATTTATATCTATATAGTCAAGTGATTTATCACTAAGAGGTATTTGTAGTATAATAGTGTTATATTAATGATTTATAGTATAATGTATTGTATAGTCGTGTGGTGTGGTGTAATGCATACGTATATACATTTATATTAATGGTGACAGTCTACGACGATATTATGTATTAGTTATTAGATATTTTTGAGTTTGCCAGAGGTGTATTGGGTAGTGATTAGATGTTATGGTATAGATATGCAGCTATAGTTGGATTGTAGTGAGTAGAGCAGTAAGAGATTGATTCAGATGTGGGACTTAATAAATCATTAATTATTGGATATGTATAAAGTTTATGAGCGTATAGATGTTGATGAAGTTATAGGGTATTGTAACTGCTTAGTTGGATAGTTGATGGTGTATATTTGAATTATGTATATTGTTACAGGATCATAGTTCTCTCTGTGCTTCATGACCTGTGAAGTTAAGGGGACCATGAGTGATAGGTACTCTCTCTGTCTAGAAGTGGTTCCTACGATGACTCATGTGAGGGACTTGGTGCCAAGCTTGTTGAGAAGTCAGTTACGACAATGTTTTTGCGAATAGTTATGGGAAGACAGTCGCGACATAGTGTCGATCTTTCTTTGTTCGTTCTTCGTCGTGGTCTCTGGTCTAGGTGGTCATATCTCACTCAGTCATCTGGTTACTCGCTCTTCCTAGTGATTAATCATGATAGTGTGTATTATATGAATAGGTTAAGTTTATGTTAAGTGATGAACTATGATGAGTGACTTAGACTTAATATACGTTAAGGACTACTATGATATGCAATAGCGAAGTGTAGTGATTGTAAGTGAAGGTGGGTACGGATATGTTTAATTGAGTGAGTGTGATTATATGAATGATTAGTTCGATAAATGAATGAGTAGTGAGTGTGGTTACGACAACACAGCATTGATATGGTGTAGCTGGTGATAGTCGGAGGATCAATTCAGAAGGCATGCTATGGTGAAGGTATGGTAAGTAGGTAGAATACGTCGTATGAATGCAAGAATGTGTACAGAACATACAAGATGAGGAATGTGGTGATCTCGAGATAACGAAGGCTTATATGTAAAACGGAGAAGGGCACGGGTGTGGTAGTTGAGGTTGAGGCGCAGGTGAGTAAGATCGGCAGTTTGAGGTGACTCGGGTTCTGATGTGGATAGGGCAGGTTGGTCCGAGAAGCAAGAGTGGAGAACGTTATCTTCAATTCAGAAGTTATTAGGATCAGCCGATAGTGAAGTATAGGTTGGATGGAGGGGATGAGGTAGAGTGTGTGTTGTTGCAGTGGATAGTATCGATAGGCAGCAGGAGATACCGAGCTATGTACATGTTATTTGATAGTATTGATATGATTGCGGTCTTCTCGGTTAGGCTTGGTAAGGTGGGATATGAGACTTCGAATGGTTCCATCACAGATTATATAAGTAATTGTTATGATAGGTTACATGTAATATCGAATGGATATTAATATCTAGTTATATATATAACATAGTGGATACTGTAGTTCGAGGGGGATATAATAAGATAAATTTATAATAGCTGCCTAGGGGAAATCTGATAATTAGTATTTATAATTAGCATAGTAGTGTGATTATAGAATATATGTACACAAGAGGGAGGTGCGCAGTTAATTCATTTAGTATATAAGGTGTCACACGCGACTAACGGCAGCACTACACATCATTACAAGTATACACTAAGACAACAACACACACACACACGCACACCAAACACACTCACAAACGGACACACATGTAGGAAGGATTACACCGTGTGATTGGCATTACGGATATTGACATTAATGAAGTAGTATCCAGCGGGAATTCCTTAGAAATTATCGATATGTTGTTATAGACAGATGGGGCGCTGTCAGGAAGGAGTCTATTCTGTGTAAACAGTTAGATCCTCCAGCATATACGGAACAGACACACACAACAACACATAGAGGGCACACTAAATTCGTATGCACACACATTTGTCCACGAATGTGACAGCACACACATATATATATATATGTATATATATTATATATATATAATAGTATATAATGCACACTATATACTTAATATATATATTTATATATATATACGCACAACCACACACACACACACAAACACAACACACACATATTATATATATATATATATATATATATATATATATATATATTATATATATATATATATATATATATATATATTATAGATATTAATATATATGTATATATATATATATGTGTATATATATTACATGTTTTATATCTATATATACATAATTTCTTGTTTTTATATTGCTACAACTCGTAAACAAAATTGAAAAAGGAAAAAACGAAATGCTACATCTAGTCAAAAAATGACTAAGAAAGTAATGCGTCTTCAAATTCACTTTTAAGTACCTTATTTTGAGAGACATACGCAGACAGGTTTATAATAACAAGTGACCTGTGCAAGACATTTCAGCCAATTGCGAATGGTCGAAGAACAAGTGAATCGTGGGTGGCAGCTTATGAGCGTATCAAACGAGGGTCTTTCTCATTCATCCTATAGAAAGTTGTAGCAAATGAACAATTGAAAAATGGGTAATGGAAGAATAGGCTAGTCAAATACCGTTATTATTGTAATGTGTTACTGTCATTTTAGAAGTAAAATTGAAGAGAAAATAATGTTTTAAATCGCAAATTTGGGTTTTTCCTTTCATGAAATGTGGTCTAAAATATGTAAATTGATCACGAAAATCAGCATAAACGAATATTCTAATTGTATTTCTCCTTTAGGTAGCACACGATCTATTAAAGGCAAGGGATGAGTGATGTAAAGTTGTTGAGAGCATAATATAAAAAACATGAGGTTAAATATGTAAAATGCGTTCGTTTCCCTCCTTCCTTGTGGCCCAGACGATCAAAACAAAATTATTGACACGTGGAATCTCTGGGTCGAAGATGCAATCCGTGATTTTATTGTCCAGTTTTATTACATGTTGCGTGGTAGTGGGCCATCTGTTAGAGAACTGTCGTCGTGTGTTTGTGTTGTATTTCTACAGGGTGTAATTGTGGGGAAAAAAGTGTTTCCATTTACTTTGTGATATTTACAAAACCAGGAATGGTAGCTTCCGGTGCACCACTTTCTTTCAATGAAAAACCTGTCGTGTAAAAAAAAAAGAAAAAATCACGGTTAAATGAGCAGTGTGTTGACAATGCATTCTTATTTATTTATTTATGTATGTATGTATTTATTTATTTATTTAGCATACTGATGACAACTAGAAAAAGCAGGCCCATGAAGATGATTATTTACGTCCAAACATGTGCGCGCCTGTTATGCGTACACGTGGACGTATACATGCTCGCGTGTGTATTCGTATATGTGTGTTGAGCGCAATACCGGAGTAAAGCACGACAGTTTGCAATCACATTGGGGGTATTGATTAACCTAACTTAGAACCTTCTCGGTCACGGCGCATTCCAGACCATACTCAATCTTGGAATGCGCCTTTCTTCCTTTCTATTTCTTTCTTTCTCTTTCATAATTAAAATGTATATATAATATATATATATATATATATATATATATATATAGTATATATATGTGTGTGTGTGTGTGTGTGTGTGTTGTGTGTGTGTGTGGTGTGTGTTGTGTGTGTGTGTGTGTGATTGTGTGTGTGTGATGGTGTATGTGTGTGGTGTGTGTGATTGAGTGTATGTGTGTGATTGAACCTGTGTGTGTGTGTCTGTGTGTGTGTGTGTGTGATGTGTGTGTGTGTGTGTGTGTGTGTGTGTGTGTGTGTGTGTGTGTGTATGTGTGTGTATTGTGTGTGATTGTGTGTGTGTGTGTGTGTGTGTTGTGGTGTGTGTGTGGTGTGTGTGTGTGTATGTGTGTGTGTTGTGTGTGTGTGTGATTGTGTGTGTGTGTGTGTGTGTGTGTGTGTGTGTATGTGTGTGTGTGTGTGTGTGTGTGTGTGGTGTGTGTGTGTGTGTATGTGTGTGTGGTGTGTGTGCGTGTTGTGTGTGATTGTGTGTTGTGTGTGTGTGTGTGTGTGTGTATGTGATTGAGTGTATGTTGTGTGTGTGTGTGTGTGTGTGTGTGTGTGTGTGTGTGTGTGTTGTGTGTGTGTGTGTGTGCGTGTGTGTGTGATTGAGGTGTGTGTGTGTGTGTGTTGTGTGTGTGTTGTGTGTGTAGTGTGTATGTGATTGAGTGGTAATGTGTGTGTGTGTGTGTGTGCTGTGTGTGGTGGTGTTTGTGTGTGTGGTGTGTGGTGTGTGGTGTGTGTGGTGGTGTGTGTTTGTTCGTGTGTGTGTGGTGGTGGCATACGTATGTGTTTCACTTGTTCCCTCTCACGTCATGTTAACCATAAATAAAAAACCGATTCGAGCCAACGGGGAAGATCCCTTAGACTGAACGCAGGCGAATCAATGACCATTCTAAACGGGCTTTGTGTGTGTGTGGTGTCCTCTGTCTATCCTGTTTCTGTCTCTCTCTCTCATCTCTCTCTCTATGAGTCTCAATCTCATCTGTCGTCTGTATAGTATATATTAGTGATATATTATATATACTAGTTTAATAGTATCTCACTCTCACTCACTTATATATATAATAGTATAGTAATATAGTATAGTATATATGTATGTATAGTAAGGTATATATTTATTTCAATATTTAACACAGCATCACAACACGATCACACAGTACATAATTATATATATATAATATCATTACCTTTTATACTATATATACTATATTATAATATATATTGTATTATGTCTATAGTACTATAGACCATAAATATATAAGGACATACATCGACTGCATCACATGTCGTAACTCAATATAATACAACACTATAGCACACATAACAAAGACACAGACACAGAGCGACCAACACACCTCAACACCAACATCGAATGGGTCTCTTATATATGATGATGTGTGTGTGTGGTGTGAGTGTGTGTGTGCTGTGTTATGGTTTTCTCTCTCTCTCTCGGGAGGAAGTTCGTTCATCTCTCTTCTTCTCCGTCGTTCGATCTCTCGACGTCTTCATCTCTCTGCCTTCTCATAATCTCTCTACTGTAGTGTATATATATGTATGAGATAAATATTATATTAGTAGTATATTATATATAATGTGTGGTTGTGTGGTGTGGGTGTGTCGTGGTGTGTTTTGTGTGTGTGGTGGTGTGGTGTTGTGTGTGTATGTTTATATATATATACATATATATATATATATATATTTGTGTGTGTGTTGTGTGTTTTGTGTGTGTGTGGACACAATCGTACATATGTGTGCGTACACATGTATATGTATATTATATGGATGTATAAAATACACACACACACACACACACACACACACACACCACATATATATATATATATATATATATATATATAATATATATATATATATTACACTCATGTATGTACATATGTATGTAGTGTATATATTATATCAATGTAAACTATACAATAATGATATGAAATACCTCTTTCATCATGTTTTCAATGCTACAAACGTGCTTTATGCATGTCGGTGATCGCTGCAAATGATCCGTCGGGTCTCCTGCACCTCGCACGCGCGCCTTTTAAAGCCTGGGAACACGAGACCGACGATCAGTGCAACGTCAGCCGCGGCGGGGGGAGTGTGACTGTCCTTTGCTCGTTAGTCTTGTTTCCTTTTTCTTGAATCTTGAGTGTTCGTTATATACAGGTAAAATGGGTTGGTGTTTGTGATATATTTTTCTTGATGTTGTTTTGTTTAATTGACGTGGAATTGCATATGGGATTGAGTTATACAGCGAGATGTATTTTTACATTAGTCCTAAATGTTCTAAAAATCAGATTACACCACTTTCCGAAAAAGGAACAAGTAAGATTATTTGATAATTCATTTGACAGGCAAAACCTTCTAAACATTCACATATATGAAACACAAATTCTATACTACCATGTGAGAAATTTTAAAAGAATATCAACACTCCCATTACCATATGCCGCGTATTTAATAGTTAATGCAAATCGTTAAAGTATTTATCGATCAACGAAACTGCGCATTTGTTTTGGATACCTAATAATAGACGTATCTTTATCCCGTTCAGGAGACAATGCCGAAGCACACGAAGACCTGGGTGACGAGGAAGGCGAAGAACTTATCCCCGCTGTCAGTCTCGCCTTGTTATCAGAGGGCCGCGTGTCCTGCCAGGCTCTCCGCGAAGGACCGCGAGTGCGAAGACGCCCCAGAGACGAAAGGGGAAGCGCGGGGATCTCACGGGATAAGACCCTGCCGTATGTCCCCTCCCGAAGTCCCTCTCCGAAGGGTCTTCTGAGCCCCTTCGAGTCGAATATCTTCCCTCAGACGCCTTCCAAGACCGCCAGATCGGGGTCGCTTTTCTTCCGGAGCTTCTTGGATACGTTCGCCGGGAAGACGCCTGCGACGGGAATGATCCGCAAGTCGGCGAGTTTTTCGAAAATTGCCGAGCCGACACCGGGCTCTGAGAGACACAAGGAGAAAGCCGCATCTCCGAAAAAGGCTTTCCCTCTTCAATCTGGACTCTTAGCTGATAACAAACAATCGGATACATTTCATACCGCCAAGTCCATCGAGGATTACCTCATCAAAACGCAGAAGACTGTCGTTCTAAGATCTACTTCACCAGACTCACAGCTGGGCGACTCGCTCGGCAGTAGCTATCGGCCATCCCAGTCGCTTCGGAGTGAGCGACCGCCGATAACCTTACGTAAATTACTGTCTACAGATCTCTCGCCAGGAGGAATATCAAATGAAAGACTCTGTTTACAATCACCCGAAATTCCTCCGAGATCGTTATACCGCAACGGATCCACAGCCTCGTTGCCAGAAGACCGAATGACAGAGAATCCCAACATCCCTTCCTGGAACACGGCCTCCAGAAGCGGTTCGTGTGACTCCAAATCGTCGTCAACAACAGGACCTTCTCGGCTTCCAAACAGTGAGTCGGGAGGGAAGGAGAAAGCATGTCGTGTCTGTGGCTGGATTGACTGCCCACTTGACGACACGCGAGTATCTAATGTTTTGCACCAGTTATACCCCAAACTTCAGCTGTGAAGAGCCAGGATTCATAAGATAAGAAATGGTTCCTAATTAACCTGTGATCGGCGTCGAAATGGAACATCCATTTTCCAAAGACATTCTCTAAGTGTGAGCTGACTTTTTATATGCAATATCATATCACGAAAAAGCTGATGTCTAACTTTTTTTTTACCTCAACTGTATTATATATTCCTATTTATTGACGCATATAAGATAATATATTTTATACAGTGATACTGTGTATTTGTGTGAAATAAACATTCTCATTTTTGCAGCCTTTACCATCCTTTTGTAACACTAATTGCATATATTTGCAAAGTCCAATTATAGAAAGAAAGAAATTCAATCTAAAGTCACGCACACAATGTGTATGTACGCGTAAATATGCATGTGAACGTGTAGTCTTTGCATGTACGGTAGATTCGAACTGAAATGTCAACTAGACTTTCTTATTTCAGCAGTCAGAACACGCCATGTATTGCATATGGAGTAATAACCGATTTATAGTTTAGAATGCATAGCTAGGTGTGGTTCCTCTGCAATTTAGGTTCCACAACTAATGGCCCCTATCTGTAGAGGATTTAATCAAATCATCAAATTGAAACCTTATGAACACAATATTTATTATAGGCATTTCGATAAATTAATCAACATATAGATAAAGTAAAAAACACACATGTACCATATGATGTCTATTCGCATACACTATTTGTATAAAAAACAGTTACCATATTTACCTATTTTTCTGATTTAAATAAAAGCATGTTTGCTAATACATAAGACTTTCGTACTGAGTACCTGAAGTGTTATACAATTATACCCTGTTATCGTTATTATAATTCCAATTAATAATTACTTAAATATGGCCAGATTTCTCAACTCGAAATCGAACACTCATATGCATATTTAGATATTCAACAGTAAAAGCTTCAGTATACAGATCTGTAGCTATTCCAGCATTGTAATCTAGTTATTGTGAAATCGCGCGTTGCCATAAGATTAAAATATTTCAGATGTAATCACACGCACACTAAAATCGTTCGTGTGTGTGTGTGTGTTTGTGTATGTGGTGTGTGTGTGTGTGTGTGTGTGTGTGTTGTGTGTGTGTGTGTGTGTTGTGTGTGTGTGTGTGTGTGTGTGGCAGCCCATTAAAAATTCAGATAAGTTGTGCAACGTAATTGTCTTTTATGTAACATCATCTTTCAATTAAACTGTTGTAAATTAGAGGCAGGGCTTCCATGATGGCACGGGGAGCCCCCGCCCCCCACAATTGTCATTGACTCGTGTAATGTAATCATTGTCAATGAAATTTCTTTCCACACTCAGGAAAAAGTAAACCCAGGCGGATTTAATGTGGCCAAGAAAAGCAAAATGAAAAACATAAACAATGTGTAAAGTGTACAAATATAAATATCGAAGTGGGCAGCCTTAATGTTGGTTACTTTTGGGCGGCTCTTCCCCGATTTATTGTTGTTACCGTCCTATGCCTGCGCCACTAGAAAATTCTCTGGACTCGCCTCTGGTTATAATAAATATCAAGTATAATGAACAGATGAAAGATTGGGAAAGAATATCAGACAAAAAAAAACTGAATGGATCTGTATATTTAGATAAAAATAAATGTCCATGTAACATCCTCAAATGAAAGCATTTGGACTGGTCCCTTGTTAACAACAAAAAAGCTCAAGAAATCGACTAACTTATCTTGCAACAACGCTAGAAAATTTGAGAGCCGGAAAATGTGCTCTTAATCTATCGATGGTATCGGTACGTGCAGCCCATAGTAAAAAACACTTTATTCTAATATGATTTACCACAAATGATAATTATAATGAGCAAGTCAAAATGATCCATTCAGCCAACGTAGGGGATATATGATGTAGATAAGTTACCCCTAAAAGTACTTAGTTTTCTTTCAATTTTGCTTATGGACTAAATTGTTACCACGAAAATAGAGTAATTCTCCATTGCTTATAACGGAAACAAATGCATACGTTAAATTCCTATATATACATACGTAGACCACAGCATATACCATGTGCATGAAATACAATTACATTCATAGATGCACATATACATAACACACACGCATAGTCCACACACAACACACAACACACCACACCACACACACACACACACACACACACCACACCGCACACACACACACACACACACAACACACACACACACACCACACACACGACAACACGAAGGATTCGTGTATGTGGAACGTGTAAATTGTGGAAAACAAATGGTATTGAAGATCCTAGATTTAGAGATAGAGTACAGTGGTAATGAAATCCCATTGAAAAAGGATTTAGACAAACTGGAAAGAGTTCAAAGAGCGGCTACAAGATGGGCACCTACTTATAAGAGGATATAAAGAAGACTACAAATTGCTAAACTTTTGGGAAGAAAGAAGAAAAGGGGGGACAATGATTAATGCTGTTCAAGCTCTGTTTACACGAAGAGGTGAATTAGACAAAGAGAGAGAGAGAGAGAGAGAGAGAGAGAGAGAAGAGAGAGAGAGAGAAGAGAGAGAGAGAGAGTGACTAGAGAGAGAAGAGAGAGAGAGAGAGAGAGAGAGAGAGAGCATTGTTTTATTTTCTATCAGTAATGATGGTAATGGTAATGATAATGATAATAATGGTGACAATAATGACAATGGGGGTTTGGTAGTTATATAACATTAATAATTAAAGGATAAAGATATAATGATAATAATGAATAACAAAAAATGATAACGAGGATGATGATAACAATAATGATAACAACAAAGATAATAACAGTAACAATAATAATAACAATGATAATGAAAATCTAATAAATGTAGTAATACTAATACTAATGATGATAATGATAATAATGATAGTGGTAATAATAATGATAATGATAAAAATAATGATAGGAATAATGACATCAACAACAGCCTAAACAAGTAATAATAATATGAATACTAATAACTATTATTATAATAATAAGTGTAATGGTGATAATGATGCCAACAGCAATAACAAAAATAATAATCATAACAATAATGATGATAATAAGGATAATGAGAATAAAAATTATGACAATGATAATGGTAGTGATGATTATGAAAAAAATAAGATAAGATAACAGTGATAATAAAAGAATGGTAATGATGATAAATCATAACAATGTTGATAATAATAATGATGATGATGAAAATGAAAATGAAAATCATAATACTAATAATAGCAATAACAATAGTAAAGATTGATAATGACAGTGATGATAATGATGATGATAATGATACTACTACCACTATTTACTAAGTGAAATAATAATGATAATAATAGTAATGATAATAACAATAATAATAGTAATTGATAAATAACAATAAATATAGTAAATGATAATAATAATAATAATAATAGTAATGATAATAATAAATATAATAGTAATAATAATATGATGATAATAATAATAATAATAATAATAATAATGATAATGATAATAATAATAATAATAATAATAATAATAATAATAATAATAATAATAATAATAATAATAAATAATAATTAATAAGAATAATAAGTATGATAATAATAATAATTATTATAAAAATTGATAATAATAGTATTGATGATATATGATGATAAAAAGTAATAACAGTGATAATGAACAATGATAATAACACTAACAACTACTACTACAATTAAAAATATTAGCTGGAATAAAAACCCACAATAATAATAAAAATGAGTATTACATATTCTTAGTCTCTGTGAGAATTTTAGATAAAATCAGAATATTTATTGTCATTATAAATGTTTAGTTATTTGCTGTTAGGAACAAGAAATAAGTTACAGTTTGTTTGTTTTAATGTCGGGATGTAATTATCATTAGAATATATTTAGTTTGTATTTCTTTTATATGTGTGTGTGTGTGTGTGTGTGTGTGTGTGTGTGTGTGTGTGTGTGTGTGTGTGTGTGGTGTGTGTGTGTGTGTGTGTGTGTGTGTGTGTGTGTGTGTGTGTGTTGTGTGTGCGTGCGTGCGTGTGTGTGTGTGTGTATGAGAGAGAGCGAGAGAGAGATGGACAATGCATACATAAATATACATACATATATACATTATAGATGCGGCATGAATTAATTTTGCATTCATTTAGACTGATGATTGTGATGACAGTATTCATATTCATTATAGTAGTGGAAATAATATTTAAGGTGTATAGATCCCGACAGACAAGAAGTAATTCGGGAAAAAATGTTATACCCGCGAGATTTAAAATTTCAGATATTTGTTATAGAATCTTAAATACACAAATGCACGGAAAATGCCTTGTATTCGGCGGTTAATAATGATAAAGCTTATAATGGATAAAGTTGAGAATGGATTTCATTAATAATGTTTTCAAATAGATAGATAATTATAAGAATGCTAATGATAACGGTGAATATCACAGTAATAACCAAAACTAATCTAGAAATACGTTTATCCTGATTATAGATCAAGTGGCATGAAACTGTGAAGGAGCTGGAGCTTTTATTACAATTGCGGTGTCTCTGTATGCCCTTTTCTTTTTATGTCTAATATATTCTAAACTCAAATTTCTCTGTAAACTAAAACTTACTATGTTTAACATGAAGTCATCAGTAAAATTATGTATTAATTAGACTCTGCCGAAACATTTCCTGATTCTGGACACAATAATTTTTTGTAATGTAAATAAAATTTGTACTGAAAGTTAATGATGGAATTCAAAGTCAATATTTCCTGACGTGCAATTGTATTTTTCGGCTTATGAAAAAAAGTTAAAACTATAAGATCCAATAAAAAGGTTAGCAAAAATAATATACGTAGATCAACGAGATTATCACTGCTATTATCATTCTCTGTACTGACATAATAGGAAGATTATGTGTGTATGTGTGTGTGTGCGTGTGTGTGTGTGCAGAAAGAGAGAATTCTATACTGAATTAGAACTGCTTAGGGCCATCTCTTGTGATACAAAATGTTATAACTACTTATTTCGATTAATGATTGCGACGGTAATCCGATTAATCTTATAGTAGAAATAATATATAAGATGTTTGAGAGAGAGAGAGAGAGAGAGAGAGAGAGAGAGAGAGAGAGAGAGAGAGAGAGAGAGAGAGAGAGAGAGAGAGAGAGAGAGAGAGAGTGGGGGGAAGGGTTATACAGACCATTTATATATCCTCCATCTTAAGAATATATACATAAAAAATAAATACCTCAAGC